TGATGGGAAGGCGATTGCATCTGGCACGGAATGATGATGACCTCGTTCGACAATTGGATCGAATTTGGCAGGAAATACCACAGGAGACCATCCGGGAGCTTTATCGGTCTGTGCCACGCCGTGTGGCAGCATGCATCCAGGCTAGAGGCGGGTCAACACCTTATTGAACTTGTTACTGTAACTCTGCAATAAATTATTCAATTGTTCTGAAATTTTAATCATTTACTATTCTATACGTTGTCTTCCTATCCATCAATTTTCGTTTCAATCGGACAACTTCTTCTTGGTGCGTCGATTTTTTTGTTATAGAGTGCATTTTATTGTGAAAAAAAATTCTTCCATTTTGAAGAATATCCCTAAAAATAGTATATTTTGAATTAGCTAAATACTCTTTCTTCGTATTATTGAATAAAAAAGAAAAAGATGAATAAATCAGTACTGATTAACACTTTGAAATCATGCACAAAACTGTGAAGATACCGTTCATATACCGGCATAATTAATTAATCTGAAATGATGTAATATTAAGTTCTTCTCGATGGCTATACGTGATTAGATAAAGCAAAACACGTTTGCGGAAATTGATTCCATCGAAATAAAAACTAACTGTATTCAGTATCATTTGGCAAGATGCTGTTGCTTGAGGCCATCTCATGATAGTCAAAATTTACCACAATACAGCAATTTTCTTCGGTATTCATCCCTTTTAAGGAGCCATTAAGTATCTCTTCCCTCAGTATCTACATTAAAACTGCTCAGTATTGATGCCGTTTCTAGAGTTACTTACGTAATACATATCAAAAAAATATATAATATATAGTCTATCTAAGCTGAGAACTCCTCCCGCTACAAAGTATGAGGCCGTCTGGTGCTATGGAAACAAGAATTGCGTATTTTAGAGGTAGACGGAAAAAAAGGTTCCGGAAAAAAAGGTCCCGGTAAAAAAAGCCCCTGGAAAAAAAGGTCCCGGTAAAAAAGGTACCTCCATAGGGAAAATCTGTAGGGATATTCCCCTCTCGCTTTTCAATGAATATTCTTTTTATCTGTAATAATTCAGATTAGATCATTGAGGTAAGGAGAAGGGTAAGGGACTTATGGGCTGGCTGTATTACGCTTCTTTTTTTTAAATTTTACTTCATTTATTTATTCTTCTTTGATTATTTTTTAAAGCGGGAAGATACTATTTAAATTTTTCAATAATGTTTTACTTTTTTTTTGTAATTTTTTTAAGTGAAAAATGTGTTATTTTCTATTTTAAATTATATTTTGTGAAGAAGTTGCTAATGTGAGGCTTAAAGTAGCCAATCGGGGAAGTTGGGAGGATTTATGTGTTGGATGTTTGTTCGTGATTGGAGGTGAAAGTATTGGTCCTTTTTAATTAGTTGAAAAGGCGCGACACGAAGAAAAAAAAGAAAAGAAAAAAACCATGCACGGAACAGCAAAAAGCGCTTCAATCTAATCTTCTCATTTCAAATATTTTCCCCTACAGAATTTTCCCTACACAGGTACCTTTTTTACCGGGACCTTTTTTTCGTACCTTTTTTTCCGGGACCTCTTTTTCCAGGTACTTTTTTTACGAGACCTTTTTTTCCGTACCTTTTTCCGGTACCTTTTTTTCCTAGGATCATTTTAGGGAGGGCAGCTTCTCTCTAAGACTAACACAATAGACCGAATAGTTCGGAGTTCTAGACCGACACAATAGAACTCCTCCCGCTGAAATGTCTGAGTCCGTCTGGTGCTATGGAAACAAGAATGGCGCATTTTTTTTTTGGGGGGGGGGGCAGGTCCACTCTAGTACTAACACAGTAGACCGAAGAAAAAGATTCCCTTTCTCCCGCCGATCCTAGCCGAAATCACTCCCCAACAGCGACCCTTCACCCCTACTTGAAATAGTCATACCTCGTTGCCATAGTCCCCGTCACAGGTCCAGACGAATGTCTGGAGGAGTTCTTATTTTAGACAAACTATAGAACCTGCATTAGTTTATTTGGTACCTATTATCCCTTTACTTCTCGCTCTCCCCAAAACGACCGGGGAGTTGGCTCTCTGTTTCTTATTGTCGTGATATTTCCGAGCTCACGCGTTCAAAAGTAACTCGCCAAAAAGATTATAATACCCCGAAATCATTTAAGCCGGGAATCATCTTTATTTCTCAATTTATGCACCAGATGACAATGCCAGACTATATGTTAGAGTTATTTTTTAAGCTAGATGTCAGCAATCATCAAACACGTAAGCTAAAAATTAACCCAAAGATTAAAAATGAGTACATATATAGTATATACACTTAGTTTTATATAAATTTCTTGTATAAAAAATGGGCACTTTTATGACCCTTTTCTTCAAACTTATGCGACCATTAAGGCGTTACAACTCCGCCGATTGCCATGATACTAGTAGAACGCATTACAGAAATTAATTAAACATTATTTGTATCAATAATAGTACGGCAAATTTTTACGGTTTCCCCAAGCGAATTCTCAACTTATAACTTTTTTTTATTTCAAATATCATCGATTTTAAATTATTTAGTTTAATGGAAAAACCTTTTTAAAGCATAACTTAAAACTGAAGAAACAGGTGTGTTTATATAACTTCAGAAATACTAATTTGGTGACGTCGAGGGCCACCTTGCTACCACGTTCACATTAATAAATAAGTTTATCTGTCAAAATGAGTAAAATAAATAAATGAATAATAAAGAATGTTCAATAAAATATTTTTATAACCTAGCAAACATCAACTGCGACATCTGTAAGGGATTTTAAAAACAAAACAGAATCATCTGCTGTTTTATTTATATCAATGACTCTTTCTAAACTAATTAGAAAGTTCTCAAACGTCTTTCCAGAACGATTTAATTTAAATTTTTGAATGATACTTGCGATCGGGGACTAAAATTGCTCGTTTCACCAAAGGTCCGAATTATGGAACGTTGTCATAAATGATTCTAGATTTATAATCGAGACAGACGCACACAAACTCTTCATTTTATTATTATAGACAATCAGTTGAATCTAAAAATAAGATGTTGCAATTCAATATTTTGTTTTAGCTTCTTTCTTTGAAACACATTGGCTGAGGAACTAATCGTTGAACTAGGCCAGTCATGATCCTATAGTCAGGCTTAACTCCTGGCGGGAAAGATATTTCATAATTTCTCACTATATGACTAAAATAGGACAATATTTCCATCCAGGCTACTGTTTCACCCGGGCACATTCGTCTTCCTGTTAAAATATTGAATGCAGGTTAATATTGTTTGATGTTTGGGACTCGGGGTTAGTCTCAGATTGACAAAACAATTGGTTCTAATATAAGGGATTCGGGATAGGGCGGCTAATTTAAGGGACATAAATTAATAAATCTAATACGAAGGAATCAAATTATTCTGACTCATATATCATACTAAAAATATAGAGCTAATAATTTCACATACTCTATATTGCAATTAGCAAAAACAGTGGAGTGCAAAAGCCTCTAGTCATTATACTGTTTTTGAAATTTGATTACAATGCAAAAATAAAATGAAAATCACACTTTTAGAACAACTCAGTTTCTATACGCATCTTTTGAAAGATTCGTGTATCTTTTTAAAGCTATAAGCCAGTGATTCTCAACCTTTTTTCTGGGGCGGCAAACTTTTGACGATTTCGAAATTTGACGGCACACAGTGAAAAAAATTAGTTTAAAAGTTGTTTACTTACCCATAATACACTGCGTTAAATAGTTTGTGATAATAATTTTGAATGTGAAATAAAATAATGTGTACTGCAAAAGCACGTTTATCAGGGGATTAATTATTTCTTTCGACTAATTTTTTACTAGTTAGTTAGAGTTATTCATTTTTTTATAGTTATTAATTGTTAGCTTGTTTTCTATAGCTATTAACTGTTATGTTTTTGTGATTTCTTGTTAACTAGTATTTTTGGTGATTATTAATTGTTAGCTTATTTTTCTGTTAGTCATCCTTTGTTAATTTGTTTTTATAACTATTAATTGCACAGCTTACTTTAATGATTAGCTTTTATTTCCATTTGAAAGTTAATATTTAGCTTGCTTTCCTTTGTTGATTAATAATTTTAATAATCCTTAAATTTCCTACTTATTTCAACATTTTTTAAAATTGTCAAAGACTATTTAAACACTTCCTTCTTATTTTAAGATTGTCAGAGACAAGACAATCACCGACTAAGCGACAAAGATGTTCACGCGGTTAAAGCGTGGAAAAATTACAAAATGTATATATATACAGGGTTATTCATAATTCCCTCAGGGGTTTCGAAGCGTTATAGTAAAAAAAAAGAAGACGAATATGAAAAAAAAGAAACATATGAAATTATTCTGAAACTATTCAAGTTTTACTTACATACATTACAGGTGTTCTATGTGTGAACTCTTGGTCACACGGCATACATAAATGCGATTGTCCAGTTCCTGCCCGGAGGGAATTATGAATAACCCTGTATATATATAATATTATATATATATAAACACTTTTCTTTAATTTAAACTTAACTCGTAATAAAAAAAGTTATAATTTTTATTGCCTCGTTTCTAATATTTGGCGGCACATTTTAAGAATTTGGCGGCACACAAAAGTGCCGCGGCACAGTGGTTGAGAATCACTGATCTAGAAGGTAATGAGCAGGCATTCTTCAGTTTTTCCATTTGTAATAAATTACTCTTCGAGAACTGGAAGGCAGCTGAAGAGCTCTTATAGGATCTGATATATGCTTAGTTTTAATAGCAAGCCTCTCNTTCGAAGCGTTATAGTAAAAAAAGGAAGACGAATATGAAGACAAAGAAACATATGAAATTATTCCGAAACTATTCATGTTTTACTTACATATATTACAGATGTTCTATGTGTGAACTCTTGGTCACACGGCATACATCAATGCGATAGTCCAGTTCCTGCCCGGAGGGAATTATGAATAACCCTGTATATATAAATATTATACATATATATACACTTTTCTTTAATTTAAACTTAACTCGTAATAAAAAAAAGTATTATAATTTTTATTGCCTCGTTTCTAATATTTGGCGGCACATTTTAAGAATTTGGCGGCACAGTGGTTGAGAATCATTGCTATAAGCATAAGCAGATAGATAGACCAGGCGAAAAGCCAGGTCTAATCAGGTTCTGAAGACCAAAGGAGAAGTCAACTCCAGTTCCTGTGAACAAAAGATGAGGACAGGAGCTGGCTTGACAGAAGCATATTTCAAAATTAACACAAATACTCAGTGTTTTTTTAAATCTTTCACTGTCTCTCCGTTATTTTGAATAGCACATAATAACAACTTCACTTGAATCCCACAAATTATTAGCTCTATATATTTCTAGTTCCTCAATATAAGTACGATTAATTTGAATTCTTCACATTAGTTTTATTAATCTGTGCCCCTTATATGAGTCACCTTATCTACAGTTCCTTATATTAGACCCAACTGTTTTGATTCCCTGGTGTTTTGATTCCCTGGTGTGTGTGTGTGTGTGTGTGTGTGTGTAAAATCGAGGGCTAGACGAAAAACCGCCCGTCCACGGCGGTCGATAATTCCCCGCGGATAAGGAATTTCTCAAATCCGACTTCCGCGAGGACGGCCATTTCCTGTTATTGTTCGTGATAAATTTTCAATTTTTGTTATCTTACAAGAGTCTAGCGCCTCACTTCTAAAATGACCCTCTAATCCAGAAATACAGCAACATACTGCGCATGGTGGAATTGATGTTTTCTCTTTCTGCGAGTACTGCAAAGATTGAAAGAGGCTTTTCAGCAATGAACTTACGAAAGAGCCCATTACGTACTGGTCTTAAACAAGAAGCGTTAAACGCAATTATGAGCATAGGCCTAAATGGAAAACCCCCTTCAGTTTCAGTTTTAGGGTTACTATCAGTAACCTAGTATTTCCTTTATTACTGTTTAATATAATCCTAGTAACTACTAATTCATTGTGCAATTTATATTTGTTGTTGTTGTTGTTGACTTATTCCTCTTGGTCAGCCGCAGGCTAGACCAAGTCAATGAGCTCGAAAGTCTTCAGGAAATCAAATACAAGTAAGGGACCAGAGTAGAGGTCTTTCTCTTCCAGACTAAGACAGTGTAAAATATGATCGGGAGAAGCCTGTGCAGAGTTACACTTCGCGCACGTTGAATAGGTCTTTCGCCCAAGCTCAAAAGAGAGACACCTGATGTGTCCACTTATGAGCCTACTTATAGTGGACTGTATGGCTCTATCAGCCCCCATGGTAAGTGCCCCACCAGGAGTCTGTCCATTATACCAAAGAGTGGGCCGGAGGGATGTTCCATAGTTGTTGGTTAGTGGTTCTGATCTTGGAACAAATCTCAGAGAAGGTCAAAGGTCGACTTGAAATTGTGCTATCAGAAGCTCCCTGCTTGGCCAAAAGATCAGCATTTTCATTACCAAAGAGGCCTATGTGAGAGGGAATCCATTGAATGAAGATTTTACGCCGATGAGAGAGTTGTTTAATTTTATTAAGTATAGAGACAGATGTCTTGTCGCCAGCCTTATTCCAGTTACTTAAGTGCTGTATGGCACTACGACTATCGGATAAGATCCAGATAATTTATATAAATGTTTGTAATAAATAAGAGAATCATATTTTTATTTATTTAGAAGCAACGGGTTAGTTTCAAAGGAGGACGGGTACATTGTTGAACAAGCCGTCCTCGGGGACGGGTAAAATTTCTTAATTTTTTCGAGACCTGGTAAAAACTATTATTTTAGTTTCAAGTAAAAAAGATGTGCAAGTATACTGTAAGAGGACCTATTCATCTCAATTATTCAACTCTATTTCAATTATTTAAGTTCATATATTAATGCAAAAAAGAGCATAACGTGTTTAAAATCACTTGTTGTTCAGGGAAAGTATTTTCACATGAAAAATGAAAGTTTAAGAAAAACATTATAAATCAAAACTCATAAACCACAAACCATATGAAAAAGGAGCGAAACTTTCAGGCTGTTTTATCAATTTTGTTCCATCATTCGATAAAAATCGTTCAGGAATAAATTTGTCTACCTCGTTCCAATATTTTGGATCATGATGCAGACCCCACAGATTCATTGTTATTTCTGCACCTTTCGGGATAATGTAATCTCGAATTGGAATATCTTGATTAGCTCTAATTAAGAAAAAAAATATGTAAATTCTAATGAATATTTAGAAAAAATATGTAAATTCTAATGAATTTCAGAAAAATACACGTAAATTCACATGAATATTATGAGAAATACATGTAAATTTTAAGGAATTTTTAGAAAATATATCCGTAAATTCAAATGGATGTTATGAAAAATATATATAAATTCTAATTAAATTTAGAAAAAATATATATAAACTCTAATGAATATTACTAAAAAAATATTTGAATATTTTATAAGGAACATTATATATTTGAATATTATATTATATGTAAATTCAAATGAATATTATAAAAATAAATGTGCATTCTAATTAGTTTTAGAGAAAATATATGTGCATTTTAATAAACATGAAAAATTAATATGCAAATTCTAATGAACATTATTAAATATACGTAAATTTTAATGAATATTAGAAAAAATATGCTTTAATTCCATTGAATAATATTATAATCAAGAGCATGTTTAAAAATTAATTTTAATCAATCTTCAAGGCTTATTAGACGCCAATGATTTTTAAAAACATTTATAAATCTCTTTTAAGATAATAAATAAATGTATTGCTTCGTTCAAAGATATTATTGATGTGTTAATATTTTGTAATTTCATTCAAAACCTAAGCTAACAATATTGCCATTGAGTTGCTTGCTGATAAAGACAAAAGGCAACTCTATTTTTTATTGATGGGATGTTTGGAAATGTCTGTAAGGATGTTTAAAATTAAAATAACACAGTTTAAACCATTATTATGTCCGTTCCAGAGGAAGAGTAGGACAAAAATGTAATCGATGACATTTTTTGATTACAGTAATCAAGTACTTGTAATCATGATTTCAAGATAACTTAATTTTGTTTACAACTGTAATCGTGATTACAACAAACAATTACAGTGTTGTTGTTTCTAATCCCCAAGAGGTCCATCCCAATTAGACCAATTCCATAAGTCCAAAAATGTTCAGGAAGTCTAAAAATAGATGAGGTTTTGAAAAAACCTCGTCGATCTTAAAATCGATACAGTTTAGAAAATGCTCGGGCGAAGCCTGAGCAGTCCTACATTTAGTGCAAAGTCCAAAAGTCTTTTGCCCCTGAACATACGAGAGACACCTCAAGTGACCACTTGCAAAGCGAGACAAACAAGTCTGCTGGCTTCTAGGTCCCTCAAAAAGCAAGGCACTTCCAGGAACAGGGGAAAGTGTTACAGCTTCTGTTGGCCGAAAATGACCTGGAGCACCAAAGGTAGAAGACTGATTTAGCTCCATAGTTTCACCTGCTAGCATTAGCTGGGCATAATGGAATGGCCTTCACGCCTAGGGTGGCCCTACCAGGAGCTAAGCTCCCGACGTACTTCGCCCATTCCGCCCAGTGGCACCCCCTCGCCACGGTGAGGCAGCTACAATTACAGTAATCAACTACTTGTAATAATGATTACAACTTTCAAAAATTTAATTACAGCTGTAATCGTGATTACAACTTTCAAAAATTTAGATTACAGCTGTAATCGTGATTACAATATTGATTACAGTAATCAATTACATGAAAAATTATGCATATAATTTGCATGTAATGCGGTCAAGATCGAGAACGGGGTAACTGTAAAAAAGGGGCAATTGTTATGTTGGGCTTATACACTGAAGAGCCAAAAAAAACTGGTATACCTGCCTAATATCGTGTAGGGCCCCCGCGAGCACGCAGAAGTGCCGCAACACGACGTGGCATGGATTCGATCAATGTGTGAAGTAGTGCTGGAGATAATTGACACCATGAATCCTGCAGGGCTGTCCATAAACCAGTGGGAGTAAGAGGGGGTGGGGATATCTTCTGAACATCACGTTGCAAGGCATCCCAAATATGTTCAATAATGTTCATGTCTGGGTATTTTGATGGATTTCCGATACTCACGGTATACTCGTGAAATGGTCGTACGTGAAAATCCAAATTTCATTGTTATCTCGGAGATGCGCCGACTATAACACCACGTTCAAACTCACTTAAATCTGTATAACCTGGCATTGTAGCAGCAGTAACAGATCTAAGAACTGTGCTAGACACTCGTTGTCTTCTAAACGCGTTGCCGATCGCAGCGCTATACTTTGATTGGCTCCTTACCCCCATTATTTACATACTCATGTCTGTACCAGTTTTTTTGGCTCTTCAGTGTATTAGTTACAATCAAAACATATATTGGTTCGTGATGGAATTATTGACGGTTACCATCAAGGTTAAGTTGGTCCATCAATAGAGAACCATCAAAAATTTTGAGTCGGGTCAGCAAAAAGTTAGTGAATTTCTAAGCCACTTGTACATATTTCTTACTTTCTAGTTGTACTCAGGGGCACGATGCTTGAGAAACGCTGCGACTCCATTAGCACTGCAAAGGTGTAAGGAATTTTGTCTCTCTCTTCATACTTAACAGCACCATCTTTGCCAATAACATCCATGATTTCTTTATAAACTTTATCTTGAATATCTTTATAGTCAGCCATTAGTCTGAAAAGCCAACCCAGTGAACTTGTAATGGTGTCACTAGCCCCCAGGAAAAGAACTGTCACATTTCCTTCCAGCATTTTTTCTAGAAGATTATTGTCATTATTATTGAGTCCCATTATTATGTTTATCATTTATTTATTACCGTGTTATTGTTAAGTATAAGATGTTAAGTATTATTGTTAATCACAAACAACTATTTGGAAATATTGAATTAAAATGATACTCGCATATTACATTGAAAAGAGGACATAGAATATACGTTAAAATTTAAATTAAGTTTCTTATAATCACTTAATTGAAAGTTTAAAAAAAAGTCTTTAAGACGAAACAAATTTAAATAGCAATTTAATATTTTGATTTAAATTTTTCATTATCTTACAGGTAAAAAGAATTATAATGTTAAATTAATTAAACAAATATGTTCTATGATTGTTTCCTCATTGTGTTTCTATGTGGAAAAAAATTATAACCACTTATATAGCAATAAGACTCCAAATTCCTCAAGCTAATTCAGATAACTTAATCATTAAAACATTGATTGCTGGTATCATAGATCTCTTGGAGTATAAGAGTAAATATTTACTAATTTCATTCAGAAAAGTACTCTGATTTTATGTGAAATAGTTTACAATTTATTCTACAATTGTTTCATAAGTTACCGTTCAAAAATTTGATACAAATATTTTAATTGCAATATTATTTCTAAGTATTTTTTTCTTCCCATGTTTTACGATATTATGGAAATAAAAGGATTGTTTGAGTTTTAAAAATGTCCAAAAATCTAACAGCAATTGCCTTTTGTCATTCTTTAGTAATACATTTAGAACTGTATAGATTTTATCTTAACTTCTTTGCCATTCCATCAATGTTTCTACTCTAAACTGATATATATA